CCTATATAACAATGTTTGGAATTTAATGAATATTCGCCTATGTAACAATGTTTGGTATTTAGTGAATATTCCCCTATATAACAATGTTTGGTATTTAGTGAATATTCCACTATATACGAATTTTTGGGATTTCGTGAATATTCCCCTATATAACAATGTTTGGTATTTAGTGAATATTCCCCTACATAACAATGTTTGGTATTTAATGTATAATCCCCTATATAACAATGTTTGGCATTTGGTTGATATTCCCCTATATAGCAATGTTTGGTATTTAGTGAATATCCCCCTATATAACAATGTTTGGTATTTAGTGAATATTCTCCTATATAACAATGTTTTGTATTTAGTGAATATTCCCCTATATAACAATGTTTGGAATTTAATTAATATTCCCCTATATAACAATGTTTGGTATTTAGTGAATATTCCCCTATATAACAATGTTTTATATTTAGTGAATATTCCACTATAAAACAATGTTTGGTACTTAGTGAATATTCCCCTATATAAAAAAGTTAGGCATTTAGTGAATATTCCCCTATATAACAATGTTTGGCATTTAGTGAATATTCCCCTATATAACAATGTTTGGCATTTAGTGAATATTCCCCTATGTAACAAGTTTAGTATTTAGTTAATATTCCCCTATATAACAATCTTTGGTGTATGGTTAATATTCCCTTATATAACAATATTTGGTATTTAGTGAATATTCCCCTATATAGCAATGTTTGGTATTTAGTGAATATTCCCCTATATAACAATGTTTGGGATTTAGTGAATATTCCCCTATATAACAATGTTTGGTGTATGGTTAATATTCCCCTATATAACACTGTTTGGTATTTAGTGAATATTCCCCTATATAACAATGTTTGGCATTTAGTGAATATTCCCCTATATAACAATGTTTGGTGTATGGTTAATATTCCCTTATATAACAATGTTTGGTATTTAGTTAATATTCCCCTATATAACAATGTTTGGCATTTAGTGAATATTCCCCTATATAGCACTGTTTGGTATTTAGTGAATATTCCCCTATATAGCAATGTTTAGTATTTAGTGAATATTCCCCTGTATAACAATGTTTGGTATATGGTTAATATTCCCCTCTATAATAATGATTGGCATTTGGTTAATACGAAAACACAGTATAGAGAGCGCACATCAAAAATAATGCAGTGGAATTTCTAGAACAGTGTCCCAAACTTAGTTTTCCACAAGAAAAATAAATTAGAAAGCTGCTGAATACAGTAAAAAACCTTCCCAAGTTTTTAAAACATCTAATAAGACACAAAATAAAAACAAAATTAATATCAGCGCTAAGTGAATATACGCCTATATTATAAACACAGGGTTCAGCCCAAAAATGTCTTGTCCGAAAAAGAGTTCCAATTTCAGTTTTAATAGAGGGTACTTCCAAGCAATTCACAGGGATTAGTTGCTGCAACAGTAGCATATACATAAAATCTGTGTCTTTATTTGTGTTCGGGGCATTCTCATATGATATAGACTAAGATGGGTTGTAGAGATGTAGCTTTAGGAATAATCGGTTGAGGTGTGCCGAAACCGACGTATGCTGTAAGCCGGTAAAAAGTGGGCAAAAAGAGACATATTAATGCAAAACATTATACAGGATCATAGTGCATTTGTTAACCATCAGTTAGACATTTTAATGAAAGCGTCCTAATTCCTGAATCGGCTGTGGGATGCACAAGCCTATGATTCCCAGCGGCCCCGTGTCTTAACGTGTGCGGGGATGTCTTGGCTATGGGCTGTGTAAGCTGCTCCTATCCAAAAGGAGTGCCCTGAGTAGTCGCTAGGGTTTAGTTCGAGCACGATGAATGAGTAGGTGGACATAGTGCATGAACTTACCTGTGGTAAGGACAGTATCGTACAGCGACAGTAATGGTTCAGTGGTGCGTATGGTGGCGTGCCCAAGAACGTAATCAGTACCTTAACCGGGCACCCAGCATTGCTTGTAAGGTAGTAGGTTATATGCACTGGCTCGCCCCTCTGACTCATCTTAGTTTTAGGAAGGGACCGGTCAACAGGCACTCTTGTTTATGATGTTGGCCGCTGATAGTGAGTTATTGTTTTGGCCTGAGAAAGCCGTTAAAGGCTAGATAGGTAGCAGTTTTGATAACTGCATTGGTGCGTGGCTCGGAAGTGCATGGTCGAGTGGTTCTGTCATGGTTTGAACATTGTATGTCTATGGCCAGTATTTAGTTTTAGCGGGAACGTCCGCTTGGCCATGTCTCTAAGTAAGGTATGTATGGGGTAGGAGGATAGGAAGCCTTGTTGTTTGGGATGGAGAAATACGTATAGTGTTGAATGCCCGTGAGATAAAGTTTAACCGTGTTGTGCGAGAATTATTAACTTAAGGTGGCAAAAAAGAGGCGAAGGACATACGTGGTGAAACCTCAAACCAGCTATCTAAGTGATGGTCCGACATGAAACGTATTGTATAAGTGGAAAACCCTGTAGCAAGCGTGTTGAGTGCTGGTGGACAAGGCCAGTTTAGTCAGAGCCCGGCTATGTTGGCGAGGTTCATGTAATCCATGACCTTGACCATAAATGACCCCCTGCCATGGCGGCTGTCACGGCAGCTGCCACAATAATTTACCATTACGTGTGGTTAAGAAAGTCCACCATATGTGTAGGTCTGCCATGGCTTGGTTGTCTAGGGACAGCCCCTGATCATCATTCGGGAGGGAGGAAAAAGCAAAGTGGTCTGAGATGAAAGCGTGGCCTGCGGTACGATGTGCATGGCAAAATTTAAGGAACCTGGTAGGGATTGTAGTTCCATGTGGTTGCAAGTACCAAGCAGGAGGTGGTAATTGGTGTTGTTGCGACTGTTCCTATTTCTCGCGTGGTAACTTGTTGGTATGGATGCCGAGTCAAGTTGTATGCCCAGGAATGTAACGACAGTGTCTGGGTCTTCTGTGACCTTAGGGAATACTGGGACACCCAAGTGTTCAGACATACTAATGGCTTCCTTGAAGCTTCTAGAGGGAAAGGTATTCCCTTTGACCAACAAGAAATCATCTCGGGAGTGTATGACTGTGGGGCATCTGGATATGTTTAACCACAACCAGTAAAGAGTTCAACGAATATATTGAAGATTGTGGGCTGCTCTTGACCTGAAAGTTAAGCGGGAGAAGAAATATATAACTGCTGCCCATAAATGCCCTGTAAGTGCCAGTGCAGGGTGGATGGTGGCAGTCTGAAATGCGTTTGTGATATCAGTTTTACTTAACCAGGCTTCCCCTCCCTGCTTGAGTGATAGTTGTCATGGTATGAACAATGGTGGCATACTGTAATGAAAACTCCTCGGAGGGTATGAGGGAGTTGAGATTATGGGGTAGCCGAGGCGTGAGGTGCAGATAAGTCTATGATCAGTTACAGTGTGAGGGAAGATTCCCTGTGACAATCCCAATGGGATTGCGCCACACTGTAAATGGTGTAGATCGGAGAGGCCCAGGTAGAAATCTTTCTGCCATTTCTTGGGCCATGAGTGTAATGCCAGCTGTTGGATGCTGCTGTGATGACTGCAAGTTAGGGCATTCTAGATACCCCCAAAAGTATATGGCAATATCTGAACAGAATGCCTTTAAAATCGGAGATTAGGAAATAAACTAAATGTCTGGAAGGGTGATAAGTTAGAAAGTATTGGAAATGCATAATGTTTACAGACGAGAAGTAAGGTTCAGGGTACATTTATTGGGACACATGGTTTTTGCATGTGCCCTGACATATTGGGAACATATCTGCAACAGTCTGCATGCACTGAAACTACATGTGCCAACATGGAAATTGTTGCAAATCTGGGATTTGCCAAAGAGAATGAGACGACCCAATTTGTCTCTGGTAGTTCGCTACGTCCTACCAGAGGTGCTAGAGCCTGGAGCCTGAAACGTTATCGTCCGCTGTGTTGGGACAAAATTGTCCTGTGGGACTAGCAACATCTCCAAGTGAAAGTGTGTTGACTCTAGCTGGAGTGTTAGGTAGAGAGAAATCCTTACCACGTGCTTGATACATACTAAAAATCATGAAGATAGCCATTATTATATGAACCCACAGTGTGCTAGTACTGGCTTGCTAGCTAAAGCCGCAAGGCGAAACAATTAATCCTTTGTTTGGTGACAGGTGAGGCCCTGCTAGTTGCCAAGTGGCTTGAGAGGCTCTATCTATGCAATGGCGCGAGGGGATTTTTGTGGCCACCAAACGTAGTGGCAGGATGTTGGCCTCTCGGTGACTGTAACCATAAAAAAGGGGAAGGGAGTGACAGGTGAGGCCCTCTCTATATACCATGCGAGGCGGCTAGCTCACGAGTGGCCCGATGGGTGTTTGCCTCCGAGCGTTGAGGCGGGGTGTTGGCCTCGCGGGACCACTATACGACAGGCGTAGATGCCAAGAAAGGAAAATATCTATTGGAAACCTATAGTCCCTAATTGCCAGTATGCTAAGGATATACCCAGGGGGAAACAGAAAATGTATGTATATACCACATGAGCAGGTGTATGTACCTGGTAGTATGATTAGATACCCTTACTGGTCGTAAAGGTTATTAATAACTGTATCCCAGACGGGTAAAACAATGTATGAAAATCGGATATAGACATTTAAAAGCGTATATCCATATGTGTGTTATGCAAGTTTAATAGAGCAAAGTGCTCTGTCCCAATGTTTATTGTATGCTTGTAATGCCCCTGTTTGAAGGAAATTAACTTGTCGGGAGTGTTATATCATGTGTGATATGGAACACAACTGTACCCCGAAACATGAGTGTAGTGAACCATGACTGGCAGCTGAATAACCTAATAAGTGAAAATACATAATTGGAAGGACTTATATTTTAAGCGTGCAAATATTCCGTATTAGACTCTGGAAAACTGCATAGTGCTTTAAATAGTATGTGCATTCTTGGGTAAATGTATGCGTATTGTCAGTAAATGTAACTAAATGCCTATGAAGGCAGGTATGCAGGAATG